GTATGTTGAGTGGAGTCATTAATGATGAAGTCGCGAGTAATATGGCGAGAGGGACATGAACTGGTACTAGCTGGAGTTAAGGATTGTAAATCGCACAATAAATCTTTAAAGGATTGAACATTCGTTCGTTTTGTAAGACACGACTTCGCACTTTTACAGACAGATTGGATATGGCCATGCTTACCGCAATTGTGACACTGGACATTAGGAAATCTACAGGATAGCCGCGAATGTCTTTGACCACAGAAATTGCACTTGTTCCATCGTTGAATCCGTTGGTCATTGTGGGCTAGAGAACTGATTTTGCTTGGTGTTTTCCAGCCCTTTTCGAAAAACCGCTTTCGTCGGGATGGTGACTGTTTGGAATTGCTGGCATTGAACAGCAAGTTGGGTTCATCACAAGTAATGGCACGAACGTCTTGGTACTGTTCACAGACTGCCTGTGCCGACTGAAGTGTGCAATCGAGCTTTTGCTGTAATTCCGAGCAAGTAATACCAGCAATTAATCGATCACGTAGCTGGATTTGCAATTGATCTCCGAAATTGTAACAAGATGCTTGAGTCTGAAGCTGAAGAATAAAGTCACACCCATGTTGGCTTCCACCGCGTATGAGTGAATGAAAATTGGCTGGTTCAGCGGCTTCGAAATTAGCCGGCTGTAGATGCTTCAACGGCAAGGTTTTTGGGGATTCATATGACAACGATATAGGAGCGTCAGGAGATACTAAATTCTTCAACAATGAGTATGCATCCTTTCCGATGATCGTTAGGAAATTAACCGTTTCGCGTTCTCCATCGAGTCCTTTCTGCGTAATACACCAAATCTCAAATCGTTCAAGATAATCTTCCGGTTCGGGCGCACTAGCATGTATATTCAAGTTCATCAAGTTACAGGACTCCATTGGTTCAAAATGACCGCGACACCAGTTGTTATGGTTAGCACTCGGACTAGTAATTCGTACACGTATCGGATTCCGCATAGTAATAGTTCAACCCAGAACTAAGACTCGAAACGAAATCAGAACACGGAACTCAACGATGGAATGGAACTAAGTTAGGAACTAGGTTATCGGTGCCCCGGGCTAATACGTATAGGTCACAACGTTAGTTGTACGAGGAGAGAACGAGGCGATTCAAGAAACGGAGGACGACGTGTATTATAAAGACCTGTCAGAGCAAGAGAGAGATAAGGGCGTGAGCAAGCGTGCGGAAAAGTGAAAGCAAACACGTGCTGACCGAAGAGGTGGCCTTGGTGTGATAAAAAAATGACATGCACAGGAGGAAATGTACATTGAGAACGGGATGTAATTGGTTACTACAACAGCAATACGCTGAAATTCGGAATGTACAAGGATATCTCGTTCAATGAAGCAAAAGAGTTCATAGTTTATGAGCAATCACCACACCAAGTTGCCATATCTAATAAAGGAACTAACCCTGGAAGTTCGCTATCGCGACATAATGGCGACACATACTAAGTCTCGACGATAAACTTCATTGTGCTCGGTAGAGAAGGGTCTTTAGAAGGAAAAGATTAACGGTAGTGTATAGGCTACAAAAGCTATAGCTTTGTACTTAATCTACCTGTTCGAGAGGCTAAGTCGCTACTTGATATCTGAACCTTGGTGGTTCTGATAATTATGCCATGGTTATGTAACCAAATCCTACTTATACAGGACTGATTGAAAACTGAACCTGTCCTGATGGTAGTCACCAGCGTAGGGTGAAAGTGCTTTTGGTTCGTGATTTGATGATCACGTCCAGCTTGAATGGATCTATCAGGAAACTTGGAGAAAAGAAAGAGGCAAGAAAAGAAAACTGCCATTGCGAAACTGTCGGTCAAAGAACCGCTACATCACACACCTAAAGCCCAGTGAGCAGGTATGGGAGTGTTTGAGTGACAAGATTGAGGATAATGTTATTTTGGCTAACCTTGTTAGATTCCCCATAAAATAATAATTCTGACAGACACATACTTGTGAGCGCACCACTACAGGAGATCTTGACGCCTAATTGGTTGTGGCCAGCGTTCGTTCGTCTTACACAACCTTATACGAATGAGAGGTGATCGAACCCGTAAGTGGGACGTGACGCTAGACACGTTCATGAATCGATCGGATGAAAACACACCTCCACAGTTTATGACCCGAAAAAATTGTCAGGTAATTAAAGCAAAAAAGGTAGCAAGTTTTATTCTGCATTTCGGTCAAAATAAGCACAAACGTATTCTCATTCATGCCTTCTTCAAGTGACGTGATTCCGACTGTTGTAAAAATACCGAAGATTGTTGAATAAACATGGTTAGCACACGTTGGGGATAACTGAATGCGGCATTTAAGCATTTGATCAAATAGAAAACTATTTTTCCTACACTCAGAGTAACTGAAATTCTGCTCAACTGATGATGAGCAAATAATCACAAAGTATAACAACAGCCCTTAGTTATGGTACATCCTACCAGATACGACAAACACGGGGATGTAGTTCAACGAAGATACAGACAATGAATGAGCCCCGATCCAGTTCAAACTTTGCAGCTTACACCTTCAGAAGGGCCGGTCGTATATTTGTAATTTAGACAAAAATATCAGCCTTGCAGGCCTGATGCGTTGGGGGCGAAAGATCACAATTGCGTTGACGAAGGAACTCAGGATACCACTCACTGGATACAAATGACAAGTGATCATTGTTACCAGATGGGAATAATAATGATCATCAGTATGTATCGTAGTATATTTTAGAAGACCAAACGCAAAAAAATACAGTAACTCGAGGATATTTAGATTAATTAAGAGTAGTAATTTTGGAATCGAGTGGATTATTCTGAATTTAATAATCCTGATTACTTGAACCATTCGCACAAGGTGATGATCGTCGGCTGTACAGCTCAGGGGTATGGGTTTGAAGTCCCGACCCGAATGTTCGCCCTTGACCGGGACAGAAATGGTACACATTCCTGACAAGCCCCAAACAGAACGAAATAGCTGTCGAATGCTCTTTGTCGGTCATCTCAAATATTTCCATCGTTTAGGGTACTGACTTCAAAGGGTAAAAATATCGTTAACTTTGTGTTACGGCTCCATGTTGGAGACGAAGAATATGGGCTTACAGAACCAACCTAATTTGTCTGATTTATTAGAAGTGTGACTGAATTATCTCTCGTTCAGTTATACAACCAGTCAGTGTTGAGTGTTCCAGAGTGCGCCAGCTTCAATGTGGCAACTTGCAGAGCATTATTACAGCATCAAAATAGTGCTGTTCATTGCAAAACAGGTGATCATTCCGGGGTGTAACTTCGCGACTGATTTGCCGCCTGGATCAACAAGACTCAATTAAGAGGACACGTTTCTACTACGGCTCCCCGAAATCATATAGTAGCGTTTATTATTTTGTGGTGAACCAGAAGTGTTATGTAGTGTCTGTGCATTGAGTTCGCCTGTTTTTATCTGATAAATGAAAACGAAGATTGCAATTGAGTTTGCTCGCTTCGCTTGTGTAAGAATGCGACTTGTCTCACTGTTAAGGCAGCCGATCGTGTAGGAATATAATTTATAGTACACGGCGAGTACAGATAACGAGATGCAGATTTGAGTAAGGGTGCTGGGCAAACTCCATACCAGTGGTTGTCGAGTGATATAACAACGGTGAGCAGATCGCGACAGGAGGTAATTTTTGCCATTTTGCACACTGAGTTACCCGCACGGGGTTGACTGGTTTCTAAGTTGGAACCGTTCACCTCCAGCATCGCAGCTACGGAACTACTATCTTGACATTGGTAATTCACGATGCAAGTGAATTAAAACTCGTCGTTCGTCACATTGTGATTTCGTTAGGGAGGCTGTCGCTCTCACTGGTCCAAGATTAGAACCTTAACACAATTGTTATGTGAATTTGTAACGTAGGGTCCCCTCTATCCATCGCACCAAGACCGAAAGAAAACATACGTCACGAGATGCCAACATTTAGGTTAACCTTTCCAATTGCTGACGTAAAACAAACAAGCGAAATTAGAACACACTGGATTGGCAAATCATAGTGAACGGACATGTTCAGTTTAACAGGGGTTACTAGAATTAAAAGCAAGAAGTTAAATCCGCGCAACTGAACTGATTGAGTCAACAACTTTTGGGCGGCTAGATTGGGTTGTCATCGGATCAGCAATGCCTCACTTGTTGCCAACAGTTTTGCATTGCAGTTGTATAACAACGGTTGGAAATAGGAAGTGAGATAAATTGAGTTTTGTTATCATGTGGTGTCACCGCCTGTTACAGACAGATTTCTGGTCCTGTTTCAATGCTATAATTATCCACTCTTAGTCCTATCGACTAGATTTCTGGTTATGAAAACTAAGCAGTGAGTTTGTTCGGGTATGAAGTTTTACTTTTGGTTGTGCCGAAGTTTTAATTTAAAATACCCAAGTCAACTACACCCTAAACTCAAGATGCTTGAATTCAGCATTTAAACTATCAATACGTCCTGTAGATTCCAGTAAAGTGCCACCAGGTGAGGCAAGGGAGACCACGATGTGCTTGACTTACCCCCACTAACTACGCTTTTGTGTACAAAAGACATTTGGCAAAAAGTAGGTACTTCGTATTACTTTTTTCTGTCCCAAACGTGAATCATGAGTACACCAGCATCACTGATAAGCAAGAGAACAACGGGTGAGTGTACAACCGAGGAGAGTAGCAGGGACTGTTTTCCTCACGTAAAATCCGTCCTCTACCTGAAGTAATAAAATTAAGAGAAGGAACTCAGAGGTTCAAGCTGTTCTCTCAAAGCAGCCTCGCAATTCTGGCCACCAAAAAGTAGGTTTGTCGATGGCTGTAGGGA